GTCTTGGGGCTGCAGATGCACCTGTGGGGCAGAGAGGGATTGAGGAATGAGAGCACAAGGAGTGGTGAGCTTCAACCTGTCACCCTACAATGGGAGACCAAAGTCCTGAACTAGAGATAAGCCTCTTGGGGTTGTATACAACTCTTGGGGGTTGTATAGAGAGACCCACAGGCTTCTCTTGTCCTCAGAAGAGCTTTGCCAAGAGCTACCCAAGGATGACCCATATCTGGTCCATAACTCTGAGAGCACCTCAGACAAGCATCAGCCTTTCCCCGTGTTACACCTTAGCCCTCTTCCTATTCCCATATGGCAAGAATCCATATGGGACAAAAAAGCATCTGTAGACTGAGAAATTCCATGGGAAGAGGAGAAAGATGAGAAAAAGCTTCAGACTCACCTTGTTCTCAAGGAGATGGAGGTGAGAAGAGTGAATGAGAGAGTGTAAGGGCCCATTTTTATACTTCTCCTGCAATGCCCCAAGCCTTCAGTCACTGCACTAGGACAGTAATTTTCCTACAGACTCACCCTCAAAGCAAAACATTCTACCCAATGGCACAGATTGTGGTTTGGTTTCCATTTATGCTGCCATTTCATTTCCTCATTTCTGACATTCCCAATAAGTCATGGAGGCTTCTATCATGTAAGGGGATGAGAAGTCCAAAGATTTCTTGTGCAGGAACACATCAGTATGGGCAGAAATCAAGTCTCAAGTTGACCCATGTGGAGTTCTTTGCTTTCTTACTGCCTGAGGGAAGTGTTGACTCTTGGAACAGTACCTACTCTTCACCCTCTCTTCAACCCATGATGCACTTTGGCTGCACCCTTTGCACCCTGACCTGAGGGGATACAGAAATCCTGCCACACATTGTCAATTCTGAGAACCCTGAGCTGTGGCAGTGCTGCCAAGCAGGTCAGGATGAGGGCAATGGCCTTTGGGCTGCCTGGATCTGTGGGTCTGGGCACAGCCCAGTGCTTGAAGATGATTTTCCAGAGTTATGGATGGAGCTGCCCTTGCTGGAAGGGAATTCAGCCCTGCCTGGGAAAAAGCCTGCAGACATCACGCACTCCTGGCTTAGTCTGACACCAATATTAGAACGTGACTCACCAGGACTCAGGAGAGTCTCACTTTGGAGATTTGCCTACTGAAGGCATTCTCTTGTCCTCCTGAGACGCGTCCCAGCTGCCTCCATGTCTGCAAGGCAGGGAAGTGCATCAGTCCTTGGTGTACTTTGAAAGCTGATTTCGCATCCAGGGCCTTTCTGAGCACACCTCCTCCCTGAGCAGTGCATGTTGGATTTTGTAGGGATTTTCTCTCTCACCTTTCCATATCAAGACAAGTCTGACCGGCCTGTGATTCCCTGACTCCTCTTTCATGCCTCTCTTGAAGACATGACACTCACTGGCTTTCTTCCACTTCTCAGATGCATTCTGTGGTCACTGTGACCAAAGTGAATCTCTCAAAGGGAGTTGAGAAAGGCTTTGTACTGGCACCAGTGAACACATAACATCAATTCACATACACTCATTTGAGACCAGTGTTTTTGAATGCTCCCCCATCAGATTCTGTTCTGCTTGGGGAAGTTTTTTCTGTTCCAGTTGTTCCAAAGAGTACCAGGAACTTCAGTTCCTGACAGCAATTCCTGATGGTAAAAACCAAGGACAGGAACATTTGAGGATGTCCAACTTTCCTGTACCCTCTGCCCTCAGGGAAGCTGCCATGTTGAATACTGTGGCTGCCTGTGTTCAAGGCTCCCTTTATTGATGATCTGTCTGCAGGAGACCTTCTTATTGCTCCTTCATGTGCTTTGCCTGATTCAACTCCAGGTGGGCTTTGGCTATCCTAACGCCTGGTAAACATCCATTCCAGAGCAAAGGGCTTCAAGAGAAAGAGAGCTGAAACATTGGCAGAGCCAGGGTGCCTGGAGATGCCACAGCCTATGACCCTTGCAGAGAGCAGATGGAGAGGGAAAAGAGAGAAGCAAGTGAAATGTCCATAAAAAGTGGACTATTTGGATGCCCTCTGACATGTGCAGGGTGAGATAAGGCCTCTTCCCACAAGGTATGTTGCAAAGAGCTGCTTTTCACTGCCCTAAACCAACATTCCCTCCCTTCATCCAGCATTTGGGTCATGTGCTCTCACTGACATGGCTCTGCCTGGGATATCCTTTGGCTTCTCATCACAGAACATTAAAGGATTCTACAATGCAGGGCAGGAATGTCAGAAATGAGGAAATAAAATGGCAGTGCAGATGTAAACAAAATGTGAATTGCTGCTACTTTGTGGGATATATTTCTTTGAAGATGAATCTGTTGAAAAATTATTGCCCTTCTACAGGACAATGGGCCTGAGGCAATAAAAGAGCTGTATAAAAGCAGTCTCTTCTCCTCACTCGCACATTCATTTCACTCACCTCCATCTCTTTGGAACAAGGTGAGTTTAAACCCATTCTCCATTTTATCCTTCTCCACTGGGATTTCTCAGCACATACCTGTGACTTGGTCCTGTGCGAGATCTTGCAGATGCTTTTTGCGAGAGGAGGAAAGAAGTGGGAGGTGTGTGACTGCAGGGTCTCAGCAGAAATACTGCCCCAGTTTTGGGCAGGTTGAGGACATCCCTGGGCTTGAGCACTTGGTGGGGTTTGTGTGAGGGAAGGAGCCCATGAGCCTCCAGAAACAGCCTTCAGCTCTCATTCCCAGCTCACGCCTTCTCTCTCACATGGAGAGGTGACAGATCCTTACACACTCTGTGTGATTCACTTTCCTCTTCCCTCTGTCCAGGTACATCTGCAGCCCCAAGACATGTCCTGCTACACCCCGTGCCGGCCCTGCCAGCCCTGCGGCCCCACCCCGCTGGCCAACAGCTGCAACGAGCCCTGTGTCAGGCAGTGCCAGGACTCCACCGTCATCATCGAACCCTCGCCCGTGGTGGTGACCCTGCCCGGCCCCATCCTCAGCTCCTTCCCACAGAACACCGCCGTGGGATCCTCCACCTCCGCTGCTGTTGGCAGCATCCTCAGCTCTCAGGGAGTGCCCATCAACTCTGGGGGCTTTGGCCTCTCCGGCTTGGGCAGTGGCCTCTGTGGCACGAGGTGCCTCCCCTGCTGAAGCTGCTGCCTGCACTGTGGCCTCCACCTGGATCCCCCTCTTTTCCCTCTTTTGACTCATTAAAGCTCTGCTGCATCCCAGCCCACGCCTTTGTGTCATCCTTTGCCCTGCAGACACTCTCCCAAGGCAGAGAGGGTGTCCCAGGGGTGTTTGTGGGAGGGGGTTGTTGGGGCTGGTTTTGCACTGGCTGTCAACACAGGCTGGCACTGGGTGGGCTCAGTGTGCACCCAGTGACCCTCTGGGTTGTGAGTTTCTCTGCCTCTTGGGGTCAGGATAGGATTTCCCTGCCTTGTCCAGGGACAAACATCCACTCTGTCTGCACTTCTTTTCCTTTTCCTTGCTCAGCTCAACACTGTGACACAAGTACTCAGCAGTGAGTGTGTTACTGACCAGACAGAGGCACTGGATTCCCATCAGTCTCCAGTAGATCCCATGGATCTGAAAGCTTTCTGAAAGGGAGGGACACAGTGCATTGTGCTGCCTTCTCACAGACCCATGTTATCATGGGATCACAGAATGGGTTTTGTTGAAAGAGATTCTGGAGGATCATTCAGTCCAACCTTGCTGCCATGGACAGTATGTCAGCTCCAGCCAGCCTGTTCCAGTTTAGACCTCCTGCTCCTTGTCCAATCACTTGACATAATGTCTCTCTCCATCTTCCTCACACCGCCCCTAGATGTACTGAAAGGGTCCCCCAGATCCTGCTCTTCTCCTGACTGAGAAACCTCCAGAGAGGTTTCCTGACTGAGAAACTGGTCCAGCTGCCCTTCAGAGCAGGGGTGATGCATCCGTGTGACCATTGTTGCAGCCCTTCTCCGCAGGGCAGCTCTCCTTCCACCCACCCCACAGTCCCTATTGACTTCTGAGACTGCCCCAAAGCAGTGCCAGGACCTTGCACTTGGCTTTGTTGAAGTTCCTGAGTTCCATGTGGGCCCATTCCTCAAGTTTGCCAAGATCCCCGTGGATTTAAACCCTCCCATCTAGTGTAGCTCTTGCTGCCCTCAGCCTCTTGCCATTGCTGAGAGTCACTAATGATTAAGGTTGGAAAAGACCTCCAAGATCATCACCTTGACAAAATACCCCTGTGGCCAATAAAGCACATGGCAAAGTGCTCTGAGGGTGCACCCAATACCATTGTCCATGTCACTGATGCTCACAGACACCAAGGGCTGTCACCAGCACCTTGGGCTGTGTGAGCAGGAGTGGAAGCAGGAGATGGGTGGCAGCGATGATGCCGCTCTGCTCAGCACTCGCCTGGTGCCATGCCCTGTGCTGGGGACAGGCTGCAATGCAAGAACCACCAGGACCAAGTGGAGTGAGTTTGGTGCAGGGTGGCCAGCATGGGGAGGAGGTGAGAGCACTTGGCTGGAGGGAAGAGGCTGAAGGCTCAGGGAGTGTAGGGAAGGCCCATTGCTGAGTGTAGGGAAGAGAATGTGTTAGGGGAGACCAAAAATCATCTTTCTTGTCGTTCTGTTCATTGAAGAGCATCGGGCCATGTTCTCCAGCCCCAGGTCAGTAGAGAGAATTAGAAAACAGAGTTACCTATTGCATGATTAAGAATATTTCAATTGAGCCTGAGTTAACACCCTGTGAACAACCATCCCCAACAATCCCCTCCCACAATTGAGCCTGAGTTAACACCCTGTGAACAACCATCCCCAACAATCCCCTCCCACAACCAGCCCTGAGCAACACCTCTCTTTCTCAGCATGTTGGTAGAGGAATAAATGAGAGGAAAACGTGAGTTGCGATGCAAAAGAACTTTAATGAGTCAAAACAGGAAATTTATGTCAATGCAAGCTGAGATGCCGATGCAGAGAGCACCAGGGACCAACAACAGTCTGTTGTTTTCCAAGGTGTGTTTTCCAAGCAGGAGCTCACACAGGGGTGGAGCCAGCAGGTTCTCCCCAGGATGGCTGTGTGGGGCTCACAGCCCAGGGGAGCACAAGGGAGCAGGGACACAGGAGGGAAAGGAGAGAGAGGCAGAGGACACAGGCAGGGATGGGCTGTGCTTCCCAAGAGCCCAGGCTGGCCCCGTCCTTCTGCAGGGGCTGCTGGGCTTGCTCAGCCCCTCAGGAAGCAACAAGCCGGTGCTGGGTCCCCAGGGCAGTTCCATCCTGGGAGTCCCTGGCTTCCTTCCCCAGGGCCATCACCAGCAGCTTCAGCAGGGGAGGCACCTCGTGCCACAGAGGCCACTGCCCAAGCCCGAGAGGCCAAAGCCCCCAGAGTTGATGGGCACTCCCTGAGAGCTGAGGATGCTGCCAACAGCAGCCGAGGTGGAGGATCCCACGGCGGTGTTCTGTGGGAAGGAGCTGAGGATGGGGCCGGGCAGGGTCACCACCACGGGCGAGGGTTCGATGATGACGGTGGAGTCCTGGCACTGCCTGACACAGGGCTCGTTGCAGCTGTTGGCCAGCGGGGTGGGGCCGCAGGGCTGGCAGGGCCGGCACGGGGTGTAGCAGGACATGTCTTGGGGCTGCAGATGCACCTGTGAGACAGGGAAGGGAAAAGCAGAGCACATGGAGTGGGTGAGGATCAGCCCATCACCCCACC